AGAAAGAACAAACACACAGACACATACAGAAAATCTGGAATCAGGTGGGGGTGTGTTCACTCAGATGGAGGGAACCTCCTACTACCAGCAACCTGGAACCTCCACTGTTTATTAGGTATGATGCAGGGAGACTGGTTAGCTAGTTTTGTTAGGAGACCAGTCTTTGCAGGCGAACGGTCTCAGCTTGTAAACACATAGGTGGGAGAAACAAGAGTTGCCAGTTTTTGTATGCACTAATCAAACCTACATAAACACTCCCCTTGAGCCTGGCACATACAGGAAGTCAGTTGTGCTAATTTCTCATGGACCCAATGCCCTAAAGTCCTCACTGTGGTTGTCATGTCGACAATACACATTCACATATGACTTCACTCACTCATGGATTCCTCTGCTCCCCACATTTGACAAAACTGTGATATACCAACAAGTTGGTTCACTTAAAAGCTCACTGTTAGCTGTAAAGCATAATACGCATGTTTAAATATTACTTAATATGCTATATCATGTAATCTATGTAATGAGTTATATGTAATTCTTTAATATTACTTAAATCTCTGTGTGGAGTTAGTTTGCTAAAAAATTTTAGAAATTCAGCAAGAAAGAAAGCATTTTTGCTCATTTAACCACCATTTATTTGCTAAAGCTTCCCTGGGCTCTTGTTGTAGGTGCTGAGAGAAAAAGAAAAAGAAAACCCACAAAGTCTAGTACTGAAGAAACTTTAGTGGGGGAAGCTGCACATTAATAAAAAAATCATACTTAATAAAATTAAGTGAAAATAAGGGATAGGAAAAACTTAAAGTAACATAAATGGGTGATATTGAGCCTGAAGAAACAAGGTGTGAAGCTCTTCCCTGACTGCCTTTGTCAAATGTTACTTCTGCTCACACCTTGTCCTGGTGTGTACTTCATGCATTTATTCATTACGTCAATAAACATTTACAGAGCTGATTCCACACATTGAAGTCCGGGCAGTCCATTGAATAACTGACTTATTATTAAGCCAATACATTCACATCTCCAGCCCTGTCATCTTGTGACCAGCAGCCATCTACGTAGACCAAACAATGGTCCTCAGTCTATGCAAATCAACACATTCATGATGGCTAACACGTCTATGTATTAGCCAGTGACCATAACAAAACACTACAGATTACAAGACTGAAATATCAGTTTAGTTTCTTGCAGGCCTGAAGGCTGCAAGTCTAAGTCCTGGATGTTGGCACAGTTGGTTTTTCTTGGACCCATCCTCTTGGTTTACAGATAGCTATCATCTCAGGCTATCTCCACAGGACTTTCCACTCTGTCTCTACATTCTTTCTTCTTTATCAGTCAGATTAAATTAGGGTGACTTCAAGGACTGCATTAGGTTAAATACCTCTTTAACGGCCCCAGCTCCAAATGCAGTCACATCCTGGGGTTTTGGGATTAGGGTTTGTGTTAGTTACCATCCTTGTAGCTATGACAGGATACACAACAAACACAATTTAAAGGAGGAAGAAATTTATCTTGGTTCATGGTGCAGTACATCATGATAGAGAGGCTACAGTTTATGGTGGTAGAAGCACACTGCAGGATGCCTTAGACCTTGGTGGGTCAGAAATCAGAGAGACAGACAAGAACCAGGTGTGGATCAAGCCTTCAAAGGACCCCCTAAATGATCCATCTCTATGTTTACTAGCAAGACATTATCATTGTGAATACCAATACCACCAGAGAAGACCAATCAGACATGTGTTCAAGTCAATGGGCAGACTTTATTAGTCATCTGGCTACTACACTGAGCATGGGGAAACCAACTGCATTCCTGAGCCTTTTTTCAGGATGAGCTTTAAGGCAAAAACCACATACTAGGTTGATGCACCTCAGGTAGCAGTAACAGTTAGCTAGAAGCAGAACCACAGAAGCCAAAAAGCAAGGTTAGTACAGTTAGGGACTTTTCCAGAACTATTGCCTTTGATCGATCATGTCTTTGTTCTCTTTTGTCAGGTGTGTTGCTGATTTTGGGCTAGGTTTTTATTTTTTAAAGTTTAAATTTATTTATTTATTTATTTATTTATTTATTAAAATTTCCACCTCCTCCGCCCCTCTCTTTTCCCTTTCCCTCCCCCTCCCTTTCCAGTCCTAAGAGCAGTCAGGGTTCCCTGCTCTGTGGGAAATCCAAGGTCCTCCCCCCTCCCTTCAGGTCTATGAAGGTGAGCATCCAAACAAACCAGGCTCCCACAAAGCCAGTCCATGCAAACTGATGAATATCTTGCATATCATCATAGAACCTTCATATGGCGATGGATGGAGATAGAGACAGAGACCCACATTGGAGCACTGGACTCAGCTCCCAAGGTCCAAATGAGGAGCAGAAGAAGGGAGAACATGAGCAAGGAAATCAGGACCGTGAGGGGTGCTCCCACTTACTGAGATGGTGGGACTGATCTAATGGGAGTTCACCAAGGCCAGCTGGACTGGGACTGACAGAGCATGTGATCAAACTGGACTCTCTGAATGTAGCTGTCAATGAAGGCTGACTGAGAAGCCAAGGACAATGGCACTGAGTTTTGATTCTACTGCATGGTCTAGGTTTTGATACTTGAATGGTAGTTCCGTCATAATGTCAGTTGTGCTAAGCTTTAGGGGTTTGTAACACCATACCCCAAGGGTTCCACAACATTCAGAAACTGGGCCACCTGCTTGGGATCAAATATTTCAACATATGTCCCTGTGGGGGGTATTTCACATTCAAAATATGGTAAGGCTTTAACATAAAAATTGTTGGGGGACACAATCTGGTTGATAATAACCCACATTTTACATCAGTCAAGGTGTCCTGTTACCATACCTAAATCTCCTTAGTGTCATGCTGTTCCCCTGTCTCCCATCCCCCACCCCCGCTTTGGGATTTCCTTTTTCCCTCACCAATTTCACATATATTCTTTCAAATGTTATCTCCTTCAAGAATCCCTGCTGGATCAATCTTGCAGGTGTGTTAACTTCCTTGGAACTGAATCGAAGACCCTGACATAAATCTACACACCTATGAACACCTGATTTTTGACAAAGAAGTCAAAAACATACAATGGAAAAAAGAAATCATCTTCAACAAATTGTGAAGGTCTAACTGGATGGTGGCATGTAGAAAAATGTAAATAGATCCATATCTATTGTCCTGCACAAAATGCAAGTCCATGTGTATCCAAAACCTCAACATAAATCCAGTTACACTGAAACTGATAGAAGAGAAAGTGAGAGGTAGCCTTGAACACGTCGACACAGATGACTACTTCCTGAATATATCACTAGTAGCACAGACACTGAGATAGACAATTAATAAATGGGACCTCCTGAAACTTGCAAAACTTCTGTAAGGCAAAGGACACTGTCAATAAGACAAAACAGTACCTTACAGAATGGGAAAAGATCTTCACCAACCCCACATCTCACAAAGGACTGATATCCAAAATATATAAAGAACCCAAGAAACTAAACATCAAAATACCAAATCATCCCATTAAAAAATGGGAAACAGATTTAAACAGGGAATTCTCAACAGAAGATTCTCAAGTGGCCAAGATACACTTAAGAAGCGTTCAACATCCTTAGCTATCAGGGAAATGCAAATCAAAATGACTCTGAGATACCATTTTACACCTGTCAGAATGGCCAAGATCATAAAGGCTAATGGCAGTCTATGTTAGAGAAGATGTGGAGTAAGAGGAAGACTCCTCCACTGTTGGTGGGAGTACAAACTTGTGCAACATTTTGGTATTCAGTTTGATGGTTTCTCAGAAAATTGGGAAGCAAGCAAGGAAGTTAACACACCTACAAGATTGATCCAGCAGGGATTCTTGGAGGAGATGACATTTGAAAGAATATATGGGAATTTGGTGAGGGAAAAAGGAAATCCCAAAACAGGGGTGGGGGATGGAGGGCGGGGGGATGATATGACTCTAAGGAGATTTAGGTGTGGTGACAGAACACCTTGACTGGTGTAAAAAGTGGGTTGTTATCAACCAGATTGTGTCCCCCAACAATTTTTATGTTGAAACTTTACCATATTTTGAATGTGAAATACCCCCACAGGGACATATGTTGAAATACTTGATCCCAAGCAGGTGGCCCAGTTTCCGAATATTGTGGAACCCTTGGGGCATGGTGTTACAAACCCCCAAAACTTAACACAACTGACACTGTGAAGCTATCATTTAATACTCAGAACCCAGCACGAAGGCAGGCAACCTGACAAAAGAGCTACTTCAAGACATAGTAATACCACTCTTGGGCATATCTCCAAAGAATGTTCAACCATACCCCAGGGATACTTGGTCAGCTATGTTCATAGCAGCATTATCCGTAATATACAGAATCTGGAAATGATCTTGATGTCCCTCAACTGAAGAATGGATAAAGAAAATGTGGTATATCTACACAATGGGATATTACTCAGAGGAAATAAAAGCAATGACATCATGAAATTTGCATGCAAATGGATGGAATTAGAAAAAAAAATCATCCTGAGTGAGGTAACCCAGACTCAGAAAGACAAACATGGTATGTACTTTATATCGTGTGATATAAAGCAAAGATAAAGCAAAGATAACCAGGCTAAAATCCTCAGTCCCAGAGAAACTAGGTAGCAAGGAGGACCCTAAGAAGGACACATGGATCTCCTTGGAAAGAGAAAATAGATGAGATGTCCTGGGTAAACTGGGATGAGGGGAGTAAACAGAAGAGGATGGGGATGGGAATGTGATGGATCAGAATAATCAGGTTGGGGGCGGGATGGAGAAGGAGAGCAATGAAAGAGATATCTTGATAGAGAGAGCCATTATGGGGTTAGGGAGAAACCTGATGCCAAGGAAACTCCCTGGATCCCACAAGAATAACCCCATCTAAGACTCCTAGCTATAGACAGAAGTTTCTGTCCCACCTGGTCTCACAGTCGTTCAGTCCCAAAGAAACATGCAGAGGCTTGTATTAATTATAAACTGTTTGGTCTATTAGTTCAGGCTTATTATTAACTAGCTTCTACAACTTAAACTGGGAAAAGTTTCAATTAGCAATAATTGTGCCTTGGATAAACCTCATTGGCTATGATACTGCCATTGCGTAAAGACTCTTACAACTTAAATTAACCCATAATTCTTATCTATGTTTAGCCATGTTGCTTGGTATACCTTTTCTCAGTGCAGCATTTTCATCTTGCTTTCTCTGCATTTTGGTGGTGATTGCAGACTGAGCCTTTCCTCTTCCCAGAATTCTCCTAATCTGGTCATCCCATCTATAGTTCCTGCCTAGTTACTGAACAATCAGTGTTTTATTAAGCCAACACAAGTGACAAATCTTTACAGGGCACAAGAGCATTATCCCACAGCACCTAACAATAGTAGAGAGGGTGCCTGTATTGACCTTCCCCTGTAATCACATTGGTGACTACTCTAATCGTCTTTATCGAGCCTTCTTGCAGTACCTGATAGGAGTAGATGCAGAGATCCACAGCCAAACACTGGTCTGAATTCCAAAAGTTCATGTTAGGAGAGGGTGGAGGGATTTTATAAGTGGGGGGCAGATCAAGATCATGACAGGGAAACTCATAGAGACAACTGAACTGAGGTTGTGGGAACTCACGAACTCTGGATGGACAGCTAGGGAGCTGGCATGGGACTGATCTAAGCCCTCTGCATCTAGGTGACAGTTGTATAGCTTGATCTTTTGCGGGGCCCCGAGTGGTAGGACCAGAACCTGACCCTGATGCATAGCTGGTTCTTTGGAACCTATTCCCTATGGTGGGATGCTTTCTTTAGCCTCAGTGCAGGAGGGAGGCACTCGTTCCTGCCTCAATTTGATATGCTTTGCTGATTCTGAAGGGAGGCCTTACCCCATCTGAATGGAGATGGAGGAGGAGTGGATGGGGTGGGTGGAAGGGAGGCAGGGGGAGGGGACGAGGGAGGAAAGGAGGGAGGGGAAACTATATAAAATAAATAAAAAAGGTTAATAAAAATGTCTATCATGAACCCAAGTCCCCTTAATTGCAATGATGGAAACAGTGTTTCTCTGGCTAAACTCTCAATTTCTTGGAGGAAAGAACTGTACCCTACATGTACTTGTTTCTCCTCTGGTTAATCTCCCCAGTGTGGGCTGGTATTACAATAAATACATTCAGAGTATCTGATTAATATATAACCTAGCACTTCATCAATAAGAATACTCTCTCTGATAACTAAGGCAAGTACACACGAAGGAAGATAGCTGTTGTTAAGCATGCTTGTCCAAAATGTGGCTTCCTTGAGAGCATCCTTACCATTCACTGATATCTTGCTTCTATGTTGAATCCTTACCTGCTGAGAGGGTTATCTTTTCCATATAAGAAAGGTTAATATACTGGACCCAGAAAGGTCACAATTTAGTTCAAAGTGATGTGCTTAGTTATAATGGCCATCATCTGCAGTCATAGGTTAATTCATTTGGAGGTTTCTTTCTAAATTCAAGTTGACCAAACTGTCCAAATTGTCCACACATGATACCCATCCAAAAGCAGGCTTCCAGCCCTACCCTCTGTTCTTTATTGAGACTGAAAGTAAATATCTTAGTTTTGTTTTAAATGCAATCACCCTTGTTAGAAAATAATGGCAGGCCATTGCTGCCAGTGCTGTGTGCATGCTCCCTGGCCATCTGGCAGCTCTCTGTGCTGCTGGTAGGATTAGTGGACATCTTTCAAAAACAGGTCAACAGAGTGGATAACAACTATGGTCTAGAGTCAGCCTGCTAGAGTCAGAGGCTCAGTTCCGCCATTTATTTTCATGTGTAGGCCTGTCTTGCTCTCTCTGTAAAATGGGGTTAATGCTAACACCTTCCCCACCTTCCCCAGAGCCTTGCTGTGATGATTCCATGAATATGCAGAAAAGGCTTAGAGCACAATCTGGGAAACCCCAGCCACTTACCCGCCAAGTGGTGGGTATTGATATCTTCTGTGCCTATGTGAGAGACTCCCTCCCTGACTCCAGCCCATGATGGCGGACTTGCTTCTGTCATTCTTTGTGCCTCCCACTGACCCTGCTAGGTCTTTCCCCATCCTGAACAGGAGCTTTTACAAAAGTGTTTTTGTATAAGGCCGTATACTTTAATTGGAAAAATTACTTGATACACCAACCATTTCCCCCGCCCCCTGATTTCATCTAATGTGAGTCCCTTTGTTCCAGTATGGACCTGTAACTGACCAGAGGGATCCTCTCCGATTTGTACCTCTGACTTCAGATCTCTACTCAGTAACAAAGAAACCTCTTTAAAGTACAAATCCAATTGGTACTCCTCTGCTGAAACATTCAGTTTCTTTCTACAGCATTTGAAATTCAAAGACCTTTCTGCCTGGCTCCTGGACGCCACCTGATCTGGTCTGAGTCCCCAGTGGCACTCTTTCTGATCTTGACAGGCAGAACAATCTCCACCACAGGGTTTTACTGGCTCGTTCTCCTGTGTCTGAACACTTTGTGGATCTGTGTGGGTTGGTGCCTGGTCATCCAGGCTTCAACTCAAACACAGGCAGCGGAGGGTCGTGACCATTGACATGAGGAGCCCGACTGCCTAGGTTGTTATCTCAGGCGTCACCACTTCCTGACAGTGTGGTTGTGTGGCTGTGTGGCTGTGTGGCTGTGTGGCTGTGTGGCTGTATGGCTGTGTGGCTGTGTGAAAGTTACTTGCTCTAATTTTCTTATCTGTAATAAAATGACAGCAGGGGTTGGGGTATGAGGAAGACCACATGATGTAAAACTGTAAATTTTATTGATAGCACCAAAACAAAATAAGAAGACAAGAAACCAACCAAAAGAATATATATATATATATATATATATATATATATATATATAATTAGATTTTGTTGTACTTAAGAAAAACAGTGATCCAACAGTCAATACCACGTATGTTATGCTTTATCAGTGAGATTGTTATTACATCCCCAAATTATTTTCTGATCCATTCTGAGTTACTATCTTTCCCATAATTGCCACTTAAAATGAAAATATGTTGTTTTTTATTTTCTGCATCCCAATTTCAGAGATTACTTACTTGTGCACTGAGGGGCTCTGCTTCTATATTTAAGGTTCTGAGAAAACTCCCATGTGCCTATTGTTTATGGAGCTCTCACCCATTCCCATCTCTAAGAACAGTGTTAGCATATACGCTTAGTTAACATTCAGCAAATGAAAACAGCTGAGTTCTAGGCAGGACTCTACGGGGGCAATCGTTTTTGTGTAGAAGATGCTCAATCTCTCTCGGCTCAATTACAAAGTGGGTAGTAATACCTACAGCTCCTAGAATTGTTACATAGTATAAGCGCCTGGGTGTTAATGCAGATTATCTTTGTGAGATGGAATTACAAGGGATTTATTTTTCTATTGTGTTCATTTATTTTACTTTAAAAACAACGAGTGTGGCCTGATTTCGTGATTAATAGCCGTTCACAATTAAATAATGTTTGCAAAGGATTCAACACGGTGGGTGACTCACTGCAGGCACTTAATAAACAGTGTTATTACTCCTAAAAGGTTTCTGTCCTCAATGGCATGGGGCTAGTAACAAATCCCAGTCTGAGGCTTGGGGCTCATTTACGATCACATCTAGGAGGGGAGAGCTTGCTTGCTTCTCTCAGGTTCAGTGCCTGTCAGCCAAGGGGCTTTTTCTTTCAGACCAGCACATTCTCAGGCTATAGAGCCCAGGTTCACCCTCTGGTTGTAGGAGGATGAGCTTCTCACAGCACTCAATATTCATCCTACTCCTGACAGAATGCACAGAATATTAACATGGTAAATTCCATTGTTTCTCTCTGCTCCTCCCACCCCACCCCCACCCAATCGCTTTCATTGTTGAGGAGAGAGACTGTGCCCAGTGGCAGGAATTTAATCAGGAGCTATGCAGCATAGCCCTGGGAAATGGAGCTGACTCAAAGCTGTGATTTTTCAGCTAGTGAATTTCCGTGTAAGATGGAGGCTTGTTTACCTAGGCCCCAGTCTGGTGGGTGGACTTCATGCCTATTCGTCCTCAGCTAGGGAATGGGAGTAGGTTACCCCTTCCTCAGGGCTAAAAGCAGCAGCTGACAATGCTGGATGCCAGGGAATTGTGTGAGACCTCATCTTTCAGCAGGAATCCTATAGTTTCTCTCTTGTCAGGCTATCTGTCCATGCAGCTGGCTCCAGGCAGGGAATCTGGGTCCGAATAGTCTGCTTTCTACTCGCCTCTTGGACCCTGGTTTTGAAGACCATCATGAATGAATAAGGAAGTCATTGTCTTTGTTCCAAGTATATAATGGGAAAATATCTTCATAAAGGTTGTGCGAGTTTTGCAGATGTGCCAGGGTATTAGAAAAGAGGCTTCGGGAGCCGAAGGACACATGACTGCTAGATGGCTCTGCAGTTCCAAGTTTGTGCTGCTGCACTCAAGGTGAACAGATGATGATAACTGGAATTTCTGAATGCCACTCCTCCTGCACCGTGAGCCACGGTGAAGATACCAGAACAAGTCCAAGTACTGTTTTGATCACTAAAACTTTGCCTGGACTTCTCTCATGGAGTCCGGATCACAGTAAGGAGAGATTTGACGGATAAATTATGTATTCTCTCTTATGGCAGCTCCATTCACCCACCCATCCATCTGTACAGCCATCAAACTGTCCATCCAACTCCCCAACAGAGCAATTTTATATAGTTGCTGCATGTATAGTGGAAACTAGGTAGGCACAGTATGTGTGTGCACGAGTCCCTGAGTCACACTCTGGGTTCACAGGCAAGTCATTATGCATCTGTTGGCTCACTTGTAAAGCAGGGATTAGAGTCTGCCCCATGAAAATGAAGCAATGTATGTTCCATGCTTAGGCAGTTTTATACATCCCAAATTCTCCATTAATAGTAGCTAGTTCCAATGTAAGACTCAGAAATTAAAGTTATGGTCTCTAACCTTGGGAAGAGGGTGAATGCACACAGTTGGCATCTTGGCACGGACCAGGATTCAGTTAATCTTATTTGGGGCAAGGGAATTTTCCTTATAGGCTACGAAATCCCAAAGTAAAAGACCGTTTCTGATGGTGGCCTAGCTGCAGAGTAGATCTAGCTGCCGAGTGGTACTC